ATGCCCTGCTAAGAAGCTGCACTGCTTCCTAGGACTCCGCCTCCAGCCAGCATGCGCATGCTCACACCAGCTCCCTTGAGGAATTTATTCATAGGACTCCTCCTCCGGCCAGCACGTGCATGCTCACGCCACTCACCACTGGTCATTTATACCTTTTAACACTTAGCAAGGACATAAATTATTTTCATTTTCACGTGCAATTTATCTCCTCCTGAAATCATTTATAAAGTGGGTTTTTTTTTTTTTTTTTTTTTTTTTTTTTGCTTCGGGCCACTTGGATCTTTTGGTCAACTCTCTTGGTCTGTAATAGTGTGCAAAATAAATGACTGCCAAATACACGTGTGAACGAAGGAAAGAACTTGTGTGTGACTTGATCACGATATTTACAAGTAAATTATACAGTGTATGTAAGATCAGCTCATCTGGGCAGATTAGCTTAGCGACGGAGTTAAACTACGAAGGCCTATACCTCTAACTCTCTAAGTTGTTGAATGGCGTTGTGCCTTATCTGAAGTCTCTCTGCAGCTGGTAGATGGCTCCTGAAGGCGCGTGCGCATTCTGTGCGCACTCGCCAATGTCTTTAAGACTAGCCGTGGACTCAGGTCAGGACTGCATTCCCTCACTAGCCGGGCAGTGTGACTTCCGAATGTTCACAGGGTGCTGATTCCATCAACATTCACTTCTTCTTCCACACAGCATGGCTGCCCCACACAGCCGGACTTCTAGGCTAGTTTTCCCCATTCTGTAAGATCTGGAGGAAGTGAGCCAACGCTTTCAGAAGAACGTTCTTCCCAACGCTTCCCGCAACCATCAGAGTTAGATAGCCTCTTCTTGTCAGACCGGTCAACTTTCCTCAATTGTTCTTTGATTCACAGTTTATTTTTCTACTTCCCAGAGTGAGCCTCTCAGCTATGGTTTGTTCTAACTGTGTCTTAAAGGAAATCCCATGTGGGGCCTTTAAATGCAGTTTGGGTTTGTGGACAGGTCATTCTTCAGCTAAAATCAGGTGCTTAGGGACCTTGTTACAATCTCCACCCAATAAATGGCCTTGTATGTAGCATTTGCATAATCACTTGTACTTTTAATACCATATCCCTCTAAAACAAACTACAAATACATACAGCCTACGATTGCTCAGATGGTTGAATTTATAGAGTCTGGCAGACAGCTTTAGTTTCATGAACTGGTTTACAGTAATTCAAAAGTCAGGAGCAGCACGTGAAGAAATTGTACGGTTCAGTGTTAGGTCGCAGAATCTCCTTCATATGTACATTTGCAGAACGGTGTGTTCTTTTCTGGGCTGTGTTACAAGGAATGAAAACAAGCAAGCACGGAGACACTACAATAAATCCAAGAAAAGAGCTGGACCACTGAGGAATGCGTTATGAGACCCATGTTCATCTGTGATTATCCACAGTGGGAATATGAGTGTGTACAGGGACTCCAGAGGTGTCATTGTTACATTCTCATGCAGTTAGCACATCTTAGCTATCCTCACACATAACACCTTTTGGCTGATGTGTTGAAGATACACTTTATTTTTCTCTTTGCATAGGTAATTGTGTATTTAGAACATAGGTGGAATATATGAAGAACGATAAATAAGTTACCAGTTCCTTTCCACAGAAATCCATTCATGTGAATATACTTGACTATTGCAGGGCAGTGTGTGTTAAGTCCCAGTACAGGGGTAAGATGATACTGAAATTCTTTTTCTGTCACAATCGCTCTGAGAAAGTATTTCTTCAGACAGTCTTCAAGCTTGACCTCATGGGACAAGTTATATTTCAAAAAGGAAGCAAAAGCAAATGGACAAATATTCTCTGTATCAGCGGACCCGCCTGAGCCAAGATGGGGTTGGGAGGGAGGGAAGCGAGGGTTATAAACAGCAAACAGTGTTCATGCCTCAGGCTGCAGGTCCAGGGTGTTGATGCTAATTCATCACTAATAGTTTGTTACTCAGAGGTGGTTTCCATGGAGCACAAGAGCGTATTACATCCATATACATGCTGCGTTCATGGGCCCTCTACATTCTACACTTTGATGATGGGAGTACACCCACAGCATCGAGTTGCTAGATCACGTACAAATTACGCACTATTGTTTCTGAAACATTTACACATAAAACAGCTAATCCATATGAATCCCAATTAGTCTACTGGGGTTTGGGATGAGCAGAGTCTTTGCTCACTACGTGACTAAAGCACAAACATTTAAATAACTTTTTCTACATTCACTTGACCAATAAGTTTGGATTTATACGCAATTGAGAACTTGTTCATCTTCTTGGTTCCCATAAAAATATCAGCATGTAGATGCCCAAACATTTTATACTTCTATGTAATAGTGGTTTTCTTATTTTTTATTTTTTAAATTAGGAAAATTAGAATTGAACAAGAAAGCAGCTCCAAAGTTAGTCATATGGATGGCCAAAATATTTCTGGGTGTACATCATGACCTAATTTCAGGTAATAGCTAAGAGAAAGAAGTTCCACAGTTAATATGAAAAGAAAATGAACATGTTAATGAGAAAAAGTAAGGACACCAGGCCATAAGTTAGGACTGCATATATTTTCTGTGGTGAAAGTTGATTGTTTGTGTATTTCCACAATGCAATGGCTAGGCACCTGTAAATTCACTATTTCTTTGTATTTCTTCTTTTAAAATTGTTTTTATTGAGTTACATATTTTTCTTTGTTTCTCTCCCTTCCTTCCCCTCCTCTTTTACCCTTTCCTGTCGCCCCCAGGCTCCTAATTTACTCAAGAGATTTTATCGTTTTCTACCTCCCATGTAGTTTAGATCCATGCATATCTGTCTTATCTATAGAGATAGATATGCATATCTATAGAGATAGACAATATCTCTATATTGTCTGGGTTCTCTGGAATTGTGAATTGTAGGTGGTTTTTCTTCGCTTTATGTCTAAAGGCCACTTATGAATGAATACTTATTATATTTGTCTTTCTGGGTCTGGGTTACCTCAAAATGATGTTTTCTAGATCTATCCATTTGCCCACAAATTTCATGATGTCATTATTTTTTTCAGCTGTGTAGTACTTCACTGTGTAAATGTACCACATTTTCCTTATCCATTTTTTGGTTGAGGGGCATTTAGGTTGTTTCTAGGTTCCGACTATGAGCATAGTTGAGCACATATCCTTGTGGTATGATTGAGCAGCCTTTAGGTATATACCCCAAACTGATATTGCTGGGTCTTGAGGTAGGTTGTTTTCTAATTTTCTGAGATGATTTCTGAGAAATCATCTAATTTTCTGAAAAATCCAAAGTAGCTGTACCACTTTTTACTCCCACCAGCAATGCAGAAGTGTTCCCTTTACCTCACAACCTCTCCAACACAAGTTGTCATCAGTATTTTTTTATCTTGGCCATTCTTACAGGTCTTAGATGGAATCTCAGAGTTGTTTTGATTTCCATTTCTCTGATGGCTAAGGATGTTGAGTATTTCCTTAAGTGTCTTTCAGCCATTTTAGATTCATCTGTTGAGAGCTCCCTGTTTAGGTCTATACCCCATATTATATTGGATTATGTGATCTTTTGGTGTCCAATTTCTTGAGTTCTTTGTATATTTTGGAGCTCAGACCTCTGTTCAATATGTGGTTAGTGAAATCTTTTCCCATTCTGTAGGCTGCTGTTTTGTCTTGTTGACCATGTCCTTTGCTTTACAGAAGCTTTTCAGTTTCAGGAGGCCCCGCTTATTAATTGTTTCTCTCAGTGTCTGTGCTACTGGGGTTATATTTAGGAAGTAGTCTCCTATGCCAGTGTGTTCAAGTGTACTCTCCACTTTCTCTTCTATTAGGTTCAGTGTGGTTGGTTTTATGTTGAGGTCTTTAACCCATTTGGACTTGAGTTTTGTGCATGGTGACAGATATGGATTTATTTCCATTCTTCTACATGTTGAAATACAGTTATGCCAGCACTATTTGTTGAATGTGCTTTCTTTTTTCATTTTATATTTTTTGCTTCTTTGTCAAAAATTAAGTGTTCGTAGGTGTGTGGATTGACATCTGGGTCTTTGATTCAATTCTATTGGTCCTCCTGCCGGTTTTTATGCCAATACCAGGCTATTTTGCTACGTTTTTAGAGAAAGACTCAATTGAAAAGTTTTATGATGTTAGATGACTTCATATTTATGTATTCAATAACTGATTTCATTTCTTCATATCTTATGATAGCTCAAACATTCTTTTAGTTATATTATAAAAAATAACTAATATAAATGTTTATATCTCTGGTATGAAGAAAATGAATCTTTATGTAGGGATTCTCCTTAACTAGAGCAGAAACCAAAGTGTTTTTGCATTGAGTGACTTTAATTCCCTTTAGTTAAAAATATCTCTTTATTTCACTGTGAAGAGGCTTAAGAATGTCGGCGCAATAATTATTCAAAATCCTTCACTTTTGATGCTGGAGAGATGGCTCCATAGTTAAGAACATGCACGGCTTTCACAGAAGACCTCAGTTCAGTTTCCAGAACCTAGTCCAGGCTGCTTACTACTGTCTATAATTCCAGCTCCGGGGATCTAGCACCCTTCTTTGTCATCCATGGACACCAACACTTGTTTACATGATTAAAACTAATCCACCTTTTTTTTTTTTTTTTGCATTAATGAGTATCTCCAAGATACAAAGTTAGCCTCTTTTCTGCATTGGACTAATTTGCTTCTTTAAACTTCCTTTTCTTTGCTCTCTAAAGCTAAAGAACTAATATTATGAGTTCCATCATTTAAAAAGTCACAGGGGTGTGTCTGTGTACATTTGTGTGTCTGTGTTTGTGTGTCTGTGTATGTGTATTTCTCTGTGTGTCTGTGTTTGTGTATGTTTGTTTGTGTTTGTGTGTATGTCTCTCGTGTGTGTGTGTGTGTTTTATCTGGAATCCTATCCTAACTACTTCCTTACTTTTAGGCCTTAGAGCGATCACTTTAGTTCTCCAAGCCAAGTTTAGAAAACATTCCCTTGATTGTGTCCTTTTTTTCCACAGCTTAACCAGCTGGAAAAGGCCATGGAGGCAGCGCACACATTCTTCATGGCCAACCCTGAGCACATGGAAATGCAGCAGAGCATAGAGGACTACAGAGCGACAGCGGGGGTGGACACCTTCCAGCTGGTAGACAGAGAAGCCAGGCGACATCTGGTGAGTCATGGGGCCTCCATCCCATCCTCATAAAGCTAACTGCACCTGTTTCGTTGGCCCCAAGTTGAATTGTATAATGGGTTCATATATCAAGTTCAGTCTCAATGTCCACTAACTTTCACACATTTGAAAAACATCTTATGAAATATTGTAACCAGTAGTGAAGCTATATTTGATATTCTATATTAACATTTCAAAAACTGAGAGAAATGAAAATTCTCTTAGAAAAATAAGGCTATGCTGAAGCCTAAAACTCCGTGAAGTTATCTGTCTCTTCCATGAAGCCTCAGTTCTTACTTAGGACTTTTTCATGTCATATTTTTTAATTAACAATTTATTCACTGACAGTTCCACCCGATGTAAATAATGAATACTGACCACATTTACCCCAGACTTTTACCTTCTTCCTCCTACCTTGTATACCCCTCTTCCCTACTTGAGTACCAGCCTCAGTACCCCTCAAGGTTCAGAATTGGATGTTTATGGCAGGTGAAGATCTGAGGATAAAACTTAACTCAAGTACATGACCTCTGCATCTTCTTTATTTTTTAGTGCAAGGGGAAAAATGAAGTGAAGGGGGCATGGAGAAGAGGAAGAATAAGAAGAAGAGTAAGGGGAAGAATAAGGAGAAGAAGGATGATGTGGGAGTGTCATATAGGAATCTGTTGATTTCATTGGTTAAGTAATAAAGAAACTGCTTGGCTGGCCCTGATAGGTTAAAACATAGGTGGGAGGAGTAAACAGAACAAAATGCTGGGAGGAAGAGGAAGTGAGCTCAGACTCGATAGCATTCCTGTCTGGGACAAACACCTCAGACAGAGAGGCCATGCTCCCCTCTCCCAGGCAGAGACACGCGATGAAGCTCCGACCCAGGATGGATGTAGGTTAAGATCTTCCCTGGTAAGCCACCTCGTGGGCTACACAGATTATTAGAAATGGGCTAGTCCAGGTGCGAGAGTTAGCTGAGACAAGGCTAGATATAATGGGCCAAGCAGTGCTTAAAAGAATACAGTGTCCGTGTAATTATTTCGGGGCATAACTAGCAGGCAGCCAGGGTGCTGGGGACGCAGCTCCGCTGCTCATATTACTACAGAAGGAGAGTAAGAGGAAGAAGTAGAAGTAGTGAGAAGAAGAAAAATAAGAGTAAGGGCTGATTTCCATGAGGTTTTTAGTTTTTACAGACACAGTTGGAAAATTCTATGGGCAAGGACAATGTCAACATGCATATCAAAAACGGCAAGTAGAACCTGACAAAGCAGTACTCTGAAACAGGCAACCCGACCCAGGAAAGAGGAAGCATTCAAGGGAAAGTATCTGACATTCCAATGCATTATATAAAGTTACTAAACATCCCTGAATCCTGGATTCACCCATTCTCCTCATCTAATCTCTTTGGTGATAACCAGCTTTGAGGATGCCCAGATTTGTTTGTCAGCAAAGGTGGGGCATGTTGTCTTCCTGCTCAGTGCCTGTCTCCTACAGCAATTTCTATGTGGTCTGTCAGCAGGTAATTTTGTGGGATTGACTCTATGTAAATTTAACTGTTAGAACAAGCTTCAAGGCCACATGGTGTGGGGGTGGAAAGGAGCAAGGTCATTGCCTGTGTAGAATTCACACTACTGAGGTGTTTTGGGAACGAATCCCATTTAGAAGGGAATAATCATGGCTTCACAAGGTTTTTACAGATATGACAGTGACTTTTCCAAAAGACAAGTGTTCCCGCAGCTCTGCAAAACAGGTTATTATTTCCATGTGGACATGTACGTATACACTTCCATGGATCTGCCTATTGGTCTGCCAGCTGCGCATTCACTGTATAGTCCTGTGGGCTCCAACATACAGATCTCTTTCTCACATTTGTGTTCATGTCCATTTGTCTTGTGACTCTGAGTTTAACTGTGCCAGTCCTCGTGACCAGGGTTTGGAACTTTCTGTTGGAGACTGGTCATTCCAGCAGTGGATGCACAACTGAAGGTAATTGATTCTTCATCCCAGAATCCATCAATAGTCGGGAGTGTATGCCTGGCTCCAATGATGGTTTCATTTCTAGTTTCTAAAACGATATGCAGACCGATTTCCAGGGTGGCTCCAGTATCTTACATTCCCACCCACAGTGGATAAGGGTTCCCTTGGCCTGCATCCACCCACCCCTGCCTGTGCTGTTGTTGTTGCTATTTCTAATGACGGTTGTACTGACTAGGGTAAGATGGAACCCTAAAGTAGTTTTATTATGACTTTTCCTGATTTCTTAGAATGTTGAACATGTTTTTCAAGGTTCCCTAGACATTTCTTATTCTGTTTCATGCTATAGTTTATTTTTAATGCAGTATTTTGATGATTTCTTTGAAAATGCCATACATCCATACAGTGATTTTGAATCATACTCACCCCTATTCCTTCCATCTAACTCCTTGGATCCATGATCACCTCCCCTACCTCCCTTCTTCATGTTCTCTTCATAAATAAACCAGAAACCAATTACTGCCACCAATATATGCATGGGTATGGGGTGCTCACTGGAGCACCTACCTACACGTGACCACATCTGTAAAGAAAGCTTGCTCTTCCTCCCCCTAGAAGTCATCAACTCTTTTTTTTTGGGGGGGGTTCATTTTTTTAATTAATTAATTTATTTATTTATTAAAGATTTCTGTCTCTTCCCCACCGCCGCCTCCCCTTTCCCCCCCTCCCCC